AGGTTCCACAAATGGACCCATCAAATATCCAAATTGAAATCACCAAGAAAGTGGATGATTAAAAGTTATGGCCGTATTTTATTTGGGAAGATATTTCCGATTATTCGAATCTTTAGTTCTGAGGAGATTGTGTGTACACCCCGGAACCCCCAAAATCTCACCTTCCGATCAATTCAGAATCCCCTCAATCGGGGTGCCCTGAAACCATCCTCTAAGTATCTTCTTCGGCCATCTGCCCGTGCACTACTAACCTAGCTACGGGTTTACTCCACCTTATGAAAAACAGCTGTATATGGATGATTCGAAAGTTGTAGTGTGACAAAGCTGTCTCGATGGACTTGAGTGAGGCTTTGCTTCGATCTGAAGGATGTGTGATCTTTGCAAATAGTTATAATAGTGAGGAACATATCATCCTATGTATATCTGTGTTATACATAACACATATGATGTCCTGAGCTTAAGTAGAAATTACGCTCTATTGTTTACATTTATCTAGAGATGTCCGATTTGTCTGATAAGGTGATCAACTTTCCAATTTGGCTGGAGAACAGTTTGACAGATATTACCGTGACAAAGGTAAGCATGTGGGATATAACCGAATGATTTAATACACAATTTCAGGAATGGGCTGCCTACGTGAATGAACTAAGCCGAATGGTTGGAAAAGTCTTCCGAACTGCCAACATTCAAAAAATGGATCAGTTAACTTCCAACGCTTTGGATCAAATTTTGTTGAATCAGTCAAAACGTCTGACTGGAAGTAAATGTCAAATATACTGTTTATACATGCATTTGTATGGGAACACGATTAGCGAACAAACTTTTGTCTGCAACATTTTAGAGTTTTTAATCTATTGATATGTTGTTGGGGGGAAGGAAAGTTATGCGAACACATAATCATTTAGGGTTGATTAGGGTTAAGAAATTATATGGGCAGAACCTGCGCTCATTAGATACTTGGGCGAGGAGAGATTACCAAAAGAGAGTAAAGTTATCCCCGGCGAAAAAGATTGCAATTCCAGTAAACCGCATTCCTCTGTGGGCTCGGGAACATTAAAGTGAAATCATTCGGTATATTTTACTCGTTAGTGGTCTTGCATCGTAGGCACAATCTACTCGTCCTATTGAATTAACACATGAGAGATCATGCACACAACAGCATACCCTCAACAATTATTTGTCCATATTTCTTTCTTAGCACTCCTGCTGCGTGTAAATATAAAAAAGGTTTACTGTGGTAACATTGTTTGCCTGTGGCATTTTCATGATGTGTCAGGCGGGTAGTCTTAGCAAACATGAATTGCTATGTTATTTTCATCTATAATTTCGTTTGACTGATTTCTGCGAATTTAGGTGCTGAGCATCCTGTTTGGATAATTTAACAATATTATGAATAATAATCTTAAAAATGGATGCAATTTCTTCAAGAATCACATAGTTTGCCATTTACCGGGATTGTATATTTCTATACCTCACGAATTGACAGAAACACTGCATAAATCAAGACAATTTTAAATTTAACCATTCGAGAAAAAATGCATAGAACGCAGAATAACACTATCGGGATTTCTCTTAATAAGTTGATGTCTATTTACCGTGTCATTTCGCCAGGACCCATATTCCATGGAGTGCTGAATTCAGCAAAACAGATAAATGAGAGTATCAATCAATCAATCATTCAATCAATCAATCAATCTATCTATCTGTCTGCCTGTCTACGCATCAGTGAACATTAAACGACATGCTGTGTAATTTGCATCCTTCTATATCACTCTGCAGTAATCATTGCCACCGCACCATACCTTCAGCCTCCAAATCATTCCCACCAACTTGACTTCACAGGCAGTAGTCACACCGAATTGCGGAGAAAACTGTGTCAGCTGATTGTCAGACACTTAACCAATGAGGTGGAACAAAGAATGCTCTGCTATCAGCCACTCATATCGTCATTTAATCAAGCCCATCCCAACACAGTTGCCCCGTGGACAATGCGACGGACGGCGGACGATGTCCCACCACCTGACACAATCGCTGGAGTGACCAGTTCTATACTCCCCAATCGTGCTGATTTGATCACAGTTGAGGCGCGAGAAGCCACAGTTGCCCTGCTAACAAAACATCCGAAACTGTGTCATAAATTAGCTATTCGGTTTTGCAACTGTCCGCTTCAAGGATCTCACTTTCGGAGACAGATATGGCAAGTCATCTTGACAAACAAACGAAGTGAGGATCCCGGTCACTGTATATGAGCTTGAAAATACGTTGCACAATTTATCCCTTTTGATCATCTTGTGTTGCTATCGTTTGCCTAATTGAATCAATAAAAGTGAGAGTATCTGAGGTTTGTAAAAATGGATTATAGGAATACATAAAGAAACAAACGCATACCCGTGAAGGATATCAAACATTTAGTTACTATGCTGTGCTACGCATTGGCGAAAATAAACGAATATTTTCAGTTTTTCAGTTATAAAATTCTCAAATGTTTTTTTCTATTGTATCTCACACCTGGCACGTCTATCATGATTTTCGAGTTCTAACAAGGAGATTAAAGTTTGGTTTGTGCAAACGTTAACCGACCATATCATTGCTTGCAATGGTTGAGTAGCCTACATTGTGTATAACAATAAATCCGCATAGAGAACACTAGGAGTTCCTTCCTGCTCACAGTAGGACCCTTCACGTAAATCATGCATTAGGAGGTCAAATATTAACTGGTGACTTTTGGTGCTCTCACTAAAACTGAGAGATGTGCGCTACTATCGTATGATGTGGACATTTGACGGACCGTTAGTACAGGTTCTTATCAGAAGTGCAGTATGATAGCTAATGTGTGATGGATTTGCTTTAGTTTTTCTTCAAGCAGATCTGAGGATACTGGAGGAGAAAAATAAAGAATAACTTTGTAAAACAGCTTAAGTCACAAAAGAAGGTATCTTAGTATGTCCTGCACTAGTTTACGAATCTTAGACGATAGAAGACAGTTTATGGACAGTGGTATCGGGGTAACTAATCCACAGAAGATTATTTTTAAGACAGAGATTGTATAGTGTTGACTATAGAAAGTAAATTTCAGTGTGTGTGTGCCTGTATGTTTGTGAATGTGTGAGGGATGTGGGGAACACTGGTACGAGGAATATATGTACGAATGTAATACGGAAACTGAATACAGCTGTGGAAAAAGCATTCCCCGCAGCAAAACTCTGTATCGTGTTTATCTCCAGGCCACTTTGACATTTTCAACTCAAATATAAATTACCTGCTTCCGCAGTCTGTTTCTGTGTGTACCTGTTTACTTGCTCCTGTGAGACAAGTTGTATTGACCGGACGGGTACACGTTTATCTGAACTAGTCCGCGAACACCACCCGGGTTGGTTGAATAGAGGAGTGATTAGGTCTATCTACAGTTCGACCGTTTCACAACTAGCTGAGTCAAACCATGTGGTTGATGTGGCCCAGGCATTTTGACCCATCTGCTTAGTTCGCAGCCGTCGATATGAAGGTATTAGGAGTCGCACCAGAAGCGACTGAAATCCACCTACATAACCCCCCCTCCCATATGCTCCCAAAAACAATTCGTAAGAACTCTCGGTCTTCCATAGGCAACACACCCTCAATACAGTCATCCCCCACTCGCCCCTAATGACTCGAAACAAGGCGTGTGTAATGACCCAAGTGTGAGCAACATTCGGTCATGGAGATGGAAAGTTATTTGGTTCTACCCCCTACGAAACTTTTGACATAAATTATGAAATATTAGCCTGTGGATGAACCACCGCAAACAAGTTTGTTCACTAATGTGTTCTTCTTAAAATGTTTAAGTGTGTTAGGCTTCAAGTAGAAAACCGGCGGGAAAGCGACTCGCATCTATACAACAACTCACCGTACATCATTCAATGAACCTCAGACTGATTCAGTTTAAAAAAACGGAAACATCTGGATCCCGTAATGAATTGGAATA